TTTATAAATCGTACAATTAGTATTAATGAACTTATTCAAACCATTTTCTATATTAAAATCGCCGTGGTGTTTAACCCTTCATACTTGATATGTTACATAAATAAGCAATTAGACGATATAAATCTGCAATTCACTTATTCAGATTGAATGTATTTCAGATATACTCCAACTTGTGTAATTTATTCCAGGAATTGAAACCGATATTGGATACAGATTTTGAATACCGGTTAAAACCGTTATCGATATCGAAACTGAGAGCGAAATAGGAAAAAATTAATACCAGTAATCAAAACCAAAACCGAAATAGGAAAAAATATTTTTGGTTTCAAGTCCTGATTTATACATGATAGTACTTATTTATGAATATATATTAGAATTATATTGTATAAAAAACATTATTGATTAGACCTACCTTTTGATTAATTTACTTAAAACGTACCTGTACAGTAATAATATATTTTATATACGACCTCCATACGAAAAGTTTATTATATATCATTGGCAAAACTCAGAAATTCTATCAAGCTAAATATAACCCAATATAACCTGAGATGAGAACAACTAAAACATTGTAGTTTTTGTCATTATGGTCTATCGTGTACAGTGTGCCGGGTCTTAGCACATACTTTGATAACAATTGCATGTGTGTGGAGTTAAAATGGACTCGTTTTGTGAATGTGCGATTGTTAATGTACCTACGGTAGCTTATATTCATTTATTATTGGTAAGTTCTTAAATCAGTGTTATGATGTTAAATTAATTCCCTCAAGAGAATTTCCGTAGTTATAATAATTACAAGTTAATTACCTGTCTACCTACGAAATAAGATAATTATCGTACCTTAGTGCCATTAAATAAAATCGTATTTTTGATTTCACTTTCTGATACGAGATAATTCTCAACATTTGTACGGAAAACCCTGAAATACCCTGTATGATAATAATGATAACGAGTCGGGTTTTAAGGTTTCAGACACGTTTGGTGGATTCGTGGACGATAATAATAAATTATGGGCTAAAATTTTCGTCAAAATGAACGTATATATCTTTTGGGCCATTAAACTATTTTGGTCACCGATGTAAGAATTAAAAAATTAAAAATCTAAATTATATGAAGTATGAGGCATATAATATATAATTTAAATATGTTTATTCTTATTCATAATATTGTTTCTATATTTTTCATTTTATCAATAGAAAATATGCTAGATTGATAAATCTAACAGTAAAAAAAAAATATATATAAAATTATACAAGTACAATAAATTAGAATATTAAAATAACAATAGTGACTTAACACGGTATATACGCTGTACACGTACAATGTATATCGTAGGTACATACATTGAACACAACTCTGAAAAAGTAACTTATAAATACATGAAAATATCAATAACAGACAAAATAAAATCCTATACCTATATTATACAGGTATAATATTATTTTAGATGGATGATAATCATATCGAATATCCTACAACGAGTGACATATAGTCTTGATATAATAAGCTACTAATCCAATTGTACATTGGTGACCAAAATAGTATTACCTAAGTATTAAATAAAGTTCAGTTCAGTCGAGAGGGTCCTGCCCATAATTATAACTTTCGTCAGTTCGTTCGCATGAACGTATAAAAAGATAGGCGTGCATCGTATGGCGTGCATCGTATGAGTATAATAATATTGTTACGTAGTGTAATATTTATCAAGATTTGGATAATATGGGGCTGGAAGGCGTATAAAATTCGGTAATATCGAAATGGCACTATAAATAATCACCAACGATGGCATTTATATACTAGTCGTTTCGATAGATTAAGAACGTTCATATCTGCCACGATGGCTCCCGGGATCTACTGCAAAGAGGGGGGGTGAAGAATTTTCGGGGTCGCACGTGTTATAATACACGCTCGCTGCAGCAGTAGTGCATACGACCAGGCTCGTCGGTCTCTCGTGACGGCCGTATAATAACAGTTCGTATATAGGCGGTGTTATTTATTTATTTATTTTCGGCCACCCTCGAACACTGCAGGCATAAATCGAATATCGCAGTTTTTCCGGAAGAGGGGAATATAAAGTTCGACGATGGCAAAACAACAAAAACCGCATCAAGAAAAAAATCAACAACTTCCAACCGATCCCCAAACCGACTCCGCAACCACAATTGCCACTGAAACTGGAATTCGGCCTTTGCGCGTTTCGTGTCGATGACATTTCGATTAAATATATGCCATTTTTCTACAGACGGAGAAATAAAGAGATAGAGAGAGAGAGAGAGAGAGAGAGAGTTAGTGATTGAGTGATTGAGGAGGCGTCACTATATCATTATAATCGTAATTTGCGCGGTCAGTCGGATAGAATAGACCGCAGAGCATGTACAGTGAAACTGTACGAAACTTTTCAGTCCGGAGTCGCGTGTATACTATTAGAATGCACAGGACTCGAACCAAGTAATCTGTCATCGTATATGACATGTACATTATAGGTGGGTATTTCTCTTTACACGGAAAATGTTGACATTTTCTAAAAATTATATCGAGTTTTCTATACGCCAGTGAAACGATTTCAGACTTCAGTTATTGTATTATGTTGATTTTTAATCATGGCGGTGACGAAAATTATTGAGTCCAATATAGAACATTATATTATTTAACGCAGTGCATCGTTTATGGATGAATATTTTCTGCATCCACATCGAATTGCCGAACACGTATAATTATTTGATATTTACAAAATACCCGATTGTGCAACTGAAATATTGACAATTTATATTTTATTCCCATAATCATCTACAACTTTTTTCTTTTTTTTTTCTACATAAATTTATAGTTTTGATTACCTATTAAATATATTACATTTTGCTTACATGAATATATTATTATACTACATAACATATTAACATAATATGTAAATTACCAGAGTTAAAAATATTTATTATAGAATAGTATTCAAATGATATCAAAATTTACTTAAAATGATGAACCTAAAATCATGGAATTAAAGAATGTAATACAAATATAATATATGCAGCAAACTACTAAAGTGCACATTTTTTCATAAACCTATCCACATGAAAACAAATGTATACCTCATGCCTCAGATATGAGGTTTTAATCGTCTTTAATTTGTACTATTTCACTTAGCCATTTCTTGCTTTAATAAGGGTGGAAACATGTCGGGACCATTTATAGGAGATATTTACCTGATTTTTATATCTAAGCATCGCATCTCACAAGAAAGACATTTTTTTTCAAATTGACAATAAAATATTCAGCATTATCGACATGTATTGATGCTGATAAAACTTTCTGTTATTAATACCTAGTTATATAAACTGAAATGCCAGTGTAAATATATCCAAAATCTGACATCATGTTATTATTTGTAAAATTATACAAAAAAATACTAATTTCAAATGCCTACCTAACATAATTATTATTTTTGGAATATTGATAAAGTCCCAATAAGACTTCTTTGTAACTACTTATAACTTTAATAAAGAAAAATACTATAATTTAAAAGCTAAAGTTATTAATAAAACGGAAAATTGAAAAATAAACTGTAATGAAAATAAAAATAAAATTTACGATACTCGTGCAAACTATTTAAAAAAAAAAAATAATTAAATTTATTAGGTAACTGAATCAAAGTGTGCACATATTAAATTGTCATCCTTAATGTTCTTGGCGGTATTGATTTATTTATTTTCAGAAACAGTATTGCACTATAGCTGAAATAATAAAAGACATTTTTACTCATTCGAGCTAGTTTAGAGTTAGGAGCAACATGTAGTTGATTCGAAATGTCATTATGTTTAATATATTATGCGATGCGATGGTTGAAATGTTATGAAAAATATAATATTATTTATTGAAATCAAAAGGCAACATTTGGTAAGAAAACTAGAATAAATACAAGTTGATTAAACTTGGTCAATCGTATACTGTATAAGTGAAAGGTTTCGTAAAATATATTATACACAACTGCGAGTATGACTTCTAATGAGAATTGTATTCGATGTTATGAACAGAAGGAGAGAAGCAACCATGGCGTGGCGCCACAGATAATGATCGTCAAGTCAGACTGCTATCAAAACCCGTGTATAATAAATAATAATATAATAATTTACTCATGGATGTGAAGAGCCCAATTTTTTTAGGATGTCTATAAAGTCCCTTCACCCATAATATTTTTTTGGAACGACTACCTCATTCCTATTTGGGCCAGTGATAATATTCGTATCATCGATCTACACTTTAATACTTATAGAGGATTACTATTAGGCTTATCGCCGCAATGATAAAAATTTGATTGCATTTTTCGTTTTCTGATGTCCGAGCGATAATATTATCAGTCTGAGTAAAAACCTTTCCTGAAACACAACATAGTATTATAGATTTTCCGGGCTTAGTATTCATCTTCTCTTTTTTCTTCGAATTTTAATAATCGAGTATTGTAGGGTTAGCTATACGTGTTTAGTTTTATCGGCAATAGAGGGGTAAAATGTTGATTCCTGCCTTGTGCATTGTGTTATTTATCACACATTATTTTCACGTTATAATAATTGTATTAAACATACAATATCCACCTTTATAATAGTATACTTAACAAAATATAAACTATAGTACTATTGTAAGTATTTTAAAATCTTTAGTTATGTTTTTAACTACTTAATTTCTATATATAGGTAGGTACTTAAGAATAGTTTCTAAAACTAAAATTGTTATTTAACAATACAGAAAAATTTATTTAGTTTATTATTGTTATCGTCTTGTGAAAATATTATATTAATTTGATGTACTGATTAAATACGTGTACCTAATACCTATACTAAATATTATACAAGGTATTTTATGTGTTTAAATCTGAATATATAAAATATAAATTTTATTATTATTTATTAACTCTTCCCTTTTCATATCACCATAATAATATTATGGAAATTATTGAAGTATTTATTTAATATTTATTATTATTTCACAAAACATATATTGAAAACAACATGATTTTTTCAGAATTCTGGGAAGAACACTTCCAATGTCGATATCCAAGAAGTATGAGAACACCATACAACTCTAATTATTCAAATGAATGTGACTCTAAGTTCCATCTAAGAGAAAAAATACCAAAGTTTGAAAACCAATTACAATTTGTCAGCGATTCTGTGCTAGCATTTGCACATGCATTGTACGATATGCATTCTGATCATTGTGGTCCGAACTTTGTTGGCTTATGCGAAGCCATGAAACCTGTTAAAGGACCCGAACTCTTAATGTATCTCAGAAAAGTAAACTTCACAGGTAAGTTGTTTGAAATTAACTAACTAAATAAAAGTTCCTTAGAGTAAATTATATGACACCAGTAAAATCACAACAAAATACCGTTACATTTAATGTGTCTAATCTTCTACAAAAGCAATTTTAAAGACTTTAACGGTTTTAATTTCTACTAATGATGTACTAAGTTTTATTTTATGGAGGTGATATTACGAAACACAAGGCGTTACTAAAATTCTTTTACGCAATAGTTTGAAATATTTTATAAATTTATTTCACATGCTTAGTGGAAATATTTAATTAAAAATATACAATATCTCTCCACAAAATCAAAAAAACCCTCACTTCGTAAACATCTTTAATTTGAAATTGTTCAACAGATGTTTGCATTAAAACAGTACTATTGGTAGTAACAGATATTAAAACGTTGTCTATCCTTAGTAGGTAACACATTAATAACATAGGAATATGAAAGGATTTTGATGATAAGAATAATAGTCATGACACTATTACTACTTAGTTATACCGAGTACAATTATACGTATGTCCAAAATATTTGAACTTCAAACGATAATAAAAAATTAACTTGACTTTCTACAAAACATTTGTTTTTGTTAAGGAAATGAAAACTTATGGGGAATTTTGTATTCAATTTTCAAAACTTAGATATAAATAGAAACATTTTTAAACATATTATGTAACTCAAAATAATTTGGAAATGTTCGTAATTTTGATAAGATTTTTTCAAAATTCTTATTTATGAGCCTCATAAAAAAATACTTTGGGTTTTCGCTATACATCTTTTTAAATTACCACTACTAAAAAAAATGTTCGATGAACCTTGTTTTAGATTTTCAATTATTTTGACGCAGCAAACAATTTTTTATTGATAATAATTTTAAAAAACTAATCAAAATCAAAATTTTCTATAGTAAATAATTCAAGATCAGAATCTAAAATGAAAACTCTCAGACTTAGTTTTTAATTTCTTATGTATAAAATATTAAAATGTATGAAAAAAATAAAAAAAATATTGAATTTGATTGAAAATGTATTCCATGTAGGTGCCTACATGTTTCTAAATAATTGCTTATTCTAAACTATAAATTAATTATTGTGAATTTGTAATTTTGAATTTGATACAATAAATGAAATGTTATTCACAGAATAAGGGAAAGTTTAGATTGTTTACTGTTTCATTGAAATTCAAACTTCAAATAAAATAACTTGAATTTATTGAAATCCATAGGTACTTCAAATAAAATAACTTGTGATTCGTTGAGATATCCGAACTTCAAATAAAATAACTTGGATTCATTGAAACGTTACATGATTTTGTCATATACTGCAAGCTCAAACATAAGATAGACAATTCTAAGAATAAATACACATCGATTAAATTATTATTTTTATGAAACAAATAATATTTAACATGAAAATGTTCACTATTAGTATTTAAAAAAGTGAAACATCAGAAACAAAATGTGCTGTTATTGTTCAATGTGACTTAAAATATGAAAAAATAATAATAGGTGTTTATAATTTAGATCATAAACGAAAAGTTTAATTTCACGAAACTCGAGTTTCTCTCCATAGGAGGATACTTCAAATAATTTAAGAAATACAACGAATAATTAAATATAGGGTTGTGTCGTAAACTCATATTTATGGTTTTAATTAACGCATTGAGCTATACTAAAATCTTGTATATAGATTCATTGAAAGCAAAACTTATCCATTGTAAAAGAATAGTAGTTTACTTGTTTTCTGTTACTGTTGAATAGTTGATAATATTTTAAATTAATTAATAAAACTATTTACACTAAAAACGAATTGTATTGCATAACATTACACTAACACACTGTTTATGTTATATGGCTAAATTAAAATAAAATATATGGTAAATATATTAATTTAAATTAGCCGTGGAATAAAATGTCATCAGATAGCACAGAAATTTACCTATAAATATTAGGTGTGTAAATAGTAAGAGAAACAAAATTAGAATACCTTGTTTTGAAAATTATTATTATAACATCCTAACTTATCAAATTGTTATATTTTTATTTTTGGTAAAAAAAAGGAATACAATTAAAAATCTACTAATCTATTGTAATTTTTTTAATACAAAATGCGCTAATTATTATAATATTATATAAACAGTTTTGTACCCTAATTATACTACCCTTACTAAATATGTATAGCATAATATATAAAAGTGTAATAATTTGATATATATAAGCGATATAGAATATGATTTTTTTTTTTTTACTTATTTTTTGTTTGAGATTAAATTGTTCAACAATGCTCTATAGACTATAATAGTATGATGCATAGGCGTCATTATGGGGTTGCGAAAGGCAGCAATTTCTGCCCCACCAATTTTATTATTTTATCAGACAACTGTTCCCAGGCTGCAATAGATCTCATACAATTGAATTACAGATATTATTCAAGATGCCCCTAGTATGATGTATTTTTTTATTTACTATTTCAGAATTGTTACTTATTGACGACTTTTGTATTTCTAATATTTATTTTTAAATATTGAACATACAGCGTAATCTCTTATTAAAATATTAAAGAGGTTGTCCAGTATTGCAGGTGTTCCTCATAAATCACTTGTTTTCTAATTAATATTTTAGAAAATTATTTGACTTTCTAAAATATTAAATGATTATCTACCAAACTAGATAACTAGTATAATTTTAATCCACAATATTATTAAGTAGAGATTTGAAACATTTGGGTTAGGTATTATATTTTGTAAAAAAACTCATTAATAATAATTAAAACTTTTTAATAATTGACTTAATATATTTTTGTCAGTTAATCGTATTATATTTCTACAATAATTATATAAATGTCTTTTGTGATATATAATTTTCTTATTTTTATTTTTGGTTACCTATAATTATTGTTACAACTGTTTCCTGAATTTATCTCCAAAAATGCATTATTCAAATTATAGTTATATATAGACATCTTTTCACAGTCCCGTAGTACATACTTATAAGTAATTTAACTAATTATTACTTATTTTATCTTACCGGTTGAATACAATTTATTAACAAAAATATGGTTTTTAAAAAACGTATGTTAGATTTTTAATATATTAAGTATAAAAATGTAAATGCCTATAACTTTATATTTTAACACAGAACTATTACTAATTGTTTTTATATACTAATTGTTTTTATTACTAATTATTATCTATAGTTTTGTATGATTGAAAATATTCTATATTTATCACAACACATTTTATACACAATTAAACTATTTTAAAACAGTTTGTAAGATTACAATTTATTTAAGTAGGTATTTTTTTACACTAATTTATGAATTAGTGCTCCTATTTATTAAACTATTAATTCATATATAGTATTATGTGATATAAAACGGGTTCAAACTTCATAATGTGAAAGTTCACTAAGCAAGAATTTATAACTATTATGAATATAGTTCTATAGAACAATAATATTTTTAGCTGCTTACAATGTAACGAATAGCAACGTTTGAAATAACACATTAAATGTATTTTGATTTATTGCTATAGCACTGACTATAGTCATTGACACTAAAAGCTGCTGGACATTATTGTAAAGTCGAAATGAAATAAGAATTTATAGACAATACGCAATAAAATTTATCTGTAAATAGCACAATTGTTAATGGATTCTTTATCGATTTTTCTATGGATTCTTTAACTACAAAATATTATGGGTGTCAGACCTCGGTCAACTACCAAACATATAAAAATAATTTTTTTTTTTAATCATTGTTTTGTATTTAGTACATATCTTTAACATTGTATGACGTTATTTAATAAAATTATTTTATGTAGTTTATGTTATCTGACTATTTTATAAACTATCTTCAAGACACCAAATCACATTTTGAAATAATTAAATTATCTATTAACTATAATCACTATTTTTTATCCAGTGTTTAAGATATAATAATACATTATTACCATAATATTTAATTTTTAATTTGTTAATAATATTAATAATATGTGATTTATTGATTTACCATCTAACAATTAATGAGGTTTATAATTTATTTGTACTATCTATATTCTATACAGTATTACTGTATAATTTTACCGATTGAGAAAACGAGATAGTGGCTAAAGCATCAAGTGAATTTAATTTTGACTGAACTTTTGTTTTCTCATTTTTTTTAAGTGCGGATAAAAAGTGAGTGAAAACTTTTATTGAAATATTTTAATTCGCCACCGCGCTGGGTTAATAGTCGTAATGAATTTCGTTTTCATCCGGATTCTGTCCACATTCATTCACAACAACAAACACCTAAAGGTACTATTTACGAAAATAAAAATAACTCAGTTTTTAACCTAGATTTTTATCCCAGTGGACATTTTATAACAAATATTGCAATGACTTGACAATGTTATGTGTTTTTACACATTTAACAGTGAATCGGGTTATAAATTTTAAAAGGGGCTGTAAACGTCAAGTTGACAATTCGCCTACAGGGACCATCAGATTTATTTCGAAGACGATTACTGCTTTAGAGGCCATATATAGGCATTTCGAGGATTGCCATTAAGTGATGACAAACGGAGGGAGAAATATATTATTTTATATACTGTGTAGGTTGTAAAAAATAAGTACCTACTAACATCAAACGTTTTAATTTAATAATTTATGTACTATTTAAAAATATGCAGCATTTTATTACAACAAATATTTGGTATAAATCTTTATACAACTATGATAATATTTCCATGCATTGTGATCCATTACACTGAAATAATATATCTAAGGATAAAACTAAATTTTACTCAAAGTTTAATATTACTCAATTATACTCCAGGCGCACTTACAATAATAAAATCATATATCTAAAAAATACATTTTTAATTTTATTAATTATTTAAAATAATTAAAAATAAAATAGTTTTTTTTAGTTAAAATTTTACTCAAATCAATAAATTGGGTAAAATTATTATGTTAGTAACCTACATTTTTATGAGTACAATATGTAATATCATAAATTTTATTCACCTGCGTTAGATGCATAACTTTGACTTATCATTATACATTGTACGGTATAAATAACTTAAACATATTTATAATATTATTTTATGCAGTTTAAAATTTGGTAAATAATTTTAAACATTTTTTTCTTCTGATAAACATTCATTTTCAATTACCCAAATTCACTTCGAGTTAAATTTTGTTTTTAAGAATCGATGGTGTGAACTATTAATACATTTTTTTTTTTTTTTATTGTATATATTAAAACTACAATGACGTATTTAATTATGACTAATTGGTAATCAACCGGTAAAAAAACAGCTTGACCCTATAATTATATTTTAAAGTGAATAATAATTCAGCCATACGCCAATACGGCAACACATATTACATAATATTAACTTATTGTGATTAAAATATTTGTCTCTAATACGTGAAATTTTAAAGTAATGGAAGAATAGTTTACACTGCTCAAGGCCGAATTCCGGTCCAAAGTCGTTTTATCATCGTAGCATTAAAAAAATAAAAAATAATACTAAATTCACACAGATAAAAATATTTAGGGTTAAATCACGTCAAAGTTCAAAGCAGTAAAAATCCAAAAGATTATTCGGGTCCGATTTCAGAGGATTAATTGCAAAAAATAAAATTGCCTCGCCTGCTTGGGTGTGTTTTGTTACCCCCCCCCCCCCCCCCGGATTCCGTGAAACCACGCCCTCTCTTATTGGACAGATAAATAAAAAACAGAACCAAAGGTTTAAGGGTAGTCTGTGACATCTGAGATAGCTGTACGTTTCATAAAATCAAATATTTAGTCCCAAGGTTAGTGTGTACCTATATTGTACCTACATTATAATATATTATGTTCCATATTATACAGAATCTAGGTCATACAATTGCTACACTGTTGTTTTACATAATCCTCCTCTATATAATATGTGTTTGTACGAATTAAATTTTAAACCGTTCCATGTATGTATTTTTTAAACCGAGTCGTGTAAACGTCATTAACCATATTGTATTTATATTTATGTAACCGAAATATGTGTTTCGAGTTATCACAATAATAATGACTAAAATAAAAAATAAAATTTTGGAAATCCAAAAACTAATATATAGTACCTAGCTTCCGTCCAAATTAGTGAAACGAAAAAAAAAAAAACATTATTTATTTGTTTTTTATTTGGTACTAAATTATATTCGTATGCATATACAATATACATAATCGGTTATATCATTCCAGATCCTGTTATAAATAGATAGATTGAATTTGTTTGCAGCTGCTTTTAGATGCCTATAATAAGGAACAAATAATTATAAATGCTTTAAACATGATAATATTCTGAACATAGGTTTTCTTTTAAAATTGTTTATCATAATTAATTATATTTCAATCTGGGACACTGAGAAATTACTAACCTTAACAAATATGTAATTTTTTATGTACCTATACCTGATGATATAAGTTTTTAATGGATTAATGGGGGGGCACATACAAATGTATAGTGTTGGAAGTTGGGCGATATAAATGTATAATACATGTATGGTTATTTTCAAGCAAACTCTATCAATTTAACTAAAAGCAATATAATTTGAGTTAAGATATTAAAAGTAATAAAGTATTTAGGTTATTTTCAAGCCATTTTACTTGATGCATACGTGGTTGAAACATTATATTATTAAAAGTTATCCAAGTTCCAAGTTTAAGGTATTTTTACTTTCTCTGTCCATTGTCAACGTTATTTTGGTTATGTTATGGTATATTACAAAGTTGACCCAACAATTTAAACGTCAAATAAATAGGTTTCTTTGTTGATTAAAAAAATTACTTATTTATTTGAAGTTTATTAATTTTAGTAAAGCATTTTACTTTTGTTAACGTACCTATCAATGTTTTAAATTATTTAAATTAAATAAATAATAAAAAAACTAATGTCTTGGTACATATTATTTTTATCGTTAACTTTGACAAAAAAATATTTAATGTTTATTGGCTATGATTAGAATAGAAAGACAGTCGTATACTGGTTATGATATTATGGGTTTTAGGGTTTACTGATACGACTTCCCTAAAAAAACTGTAGATACTATCCAAGTCCAAACTTTTTATTCAAACTACTGTATTCTGAAATTTATTTTAGTCCTTTATAAAAGATCATTGTTTTAAAATTCAATAAAAAAACCACTAAAGATAATAATTAATTTTTCATACAACTCGTAGTTACGTTATAATTATTCAATCAACTCACCAACAAATATGCTAATGTCATTAGGTTATTCTGCTGATTCAGATATATTTTATTGTAATATTAATGATATTAAACAAATAGCTACGTGGCTTAATTTAATTTTACAATGTTCTAAATTATGTATTGTGTATTACTATTATTATTCATACTACTTTCATGTATTATAACGTACCCAATTTTTGTAAATCAAGTTTTCATTCGTAAATCGTTGAATTAATAAATAAATATGTGTTATATGCCCACCACTATAGAGACTATAGAGACGCTTGTTTTACAGAATATAATAACGCCTGTATGTAGGCGTCTTATCTTAGATATTTTTGCTTATACGCGACAAGACTGTAGTATCGGTCCTGTCGGCAATTCAGTCTAGAACTCGACTCATTCGAGCTAAGTAGTGAGCTTGTAGTATAAATCATATTTTTTAAAACTAATAAAGTATAATATTCTCATATAAATCTAAAACGTGTATTCTTTTTATTAATAAACTATTAAACAACATTTGATTATCACCCGCTACACAGAGAACGGTTTCAACAAATTGTCGTCTTCGGATACAACCAGGGACACAATATAAAATATAACAGAACATCACAGGCATACGCAGTGGCGTTCATAACATTGGTGGCAGCGGTAGCCGTTTTCATTTTCTTTTCTGTGAAAGAAATTCTGTCTAGTGAGTGATATATTCAAATAATTATTATAAATAAAAAAAAAGTGAACACGAGTGAATATATTCATACGGAGGCGCTTTTACCTAAAGATTGGTGAGGAAACTATTCTATAGTCCCCGATATTTACGTCACACGCATCTACAAATACACCGTAGGAGGTGCTACTTGTTTTATACCAACTACGTAAAAAACGGGATCACCATATTTTATCGTTCATTATAAATACACAATCAACGCCTATTGTCAATACCAATACGCACATTTGTACGATAAGCTACACTACATCTCGTCTACATCGATTAATTAGTAAACAGAAATTAATTAATCGTTCAAGTTAAACAAAACCCACCAGTGTGGTCTCCGCGCATACCGGTTTCGGAGCGTAGAACTTCAAACGAAATAACTTGAAGACTACGTGGGAACGACACCGTGAGACGTGGCGAGTTCAACAAGGGATCCAGATAATCTGTCAAAGAAGTCAATTATTATGCAGTTCGGAGTAATAACAAAGACCGTCATACTGTAAGTAAAAAAAAAATAATAACATAAATATTTTTATATTATAATAATATTATTATCACTAACTTGAATAATAGAATAAAATTACTGTATTTTTTATTTTATCTTGACCTACTGACATAGTAACATAATTGTAATTTTTTTTTATTATTATTGTCGTTTTGTTTTGTTGTTATTATACACTATAATAACAAACTAACACTTTTAATGTATGTCTACTCAATCAAGTAGTGGTAATAGTAGCAGTGATAGGAGCCCAGATACATCTACAGTAAATAAAGGTTATAATACTCCTATATCAAATAACTTTGACGATAATTTAAAATATACTGGCCCAAATACTAGGTCACGAGCACACCAAAATAAAAGATACCATAGGAAATCTAGAAGTGTAGAATCATTATTCTCTGATACTAGGGGAAATATTTCAACTTCAGTACCTTCGGATCAAATAGGTGAAGAAAATACACCAAAACAAATAAATAAAAATACCGAACTACTCGGTTTAAAATTTTTGGGGGTGGATAATTCGTGTACCATTTCCAAAATGAACAATACAGTTCTTTCATTAGAAACAGCCATTAAATTGGTTCCTTTTTTCAATGGTGAAGATTCAGCTGATATCTATCCTTATCTTAGCGCATGTGATTTCGTAATGTCTAATGTCGATAACAACATAAAGCCAGTTTTGTTACAAGCTATTCGTACAAAATTAAGTAAAAAAGCTTTTGCAATAACTCAACATCGTGACGTTGAAGATTGGGCAGGACTTAAACATTTACTCGAATCAAACTTTTGTGCTAAACGTACACCAGGATATCTACAACTTGAACTTACATCAACAAGACAGTCTCAAGGAGAGTCAGTTCATGACTACTCTACAAAGGTTGAAAACCTACTCAATGAATTATGTAATGTGAGCACAAAGGGAAAATCAACCACAGATGCCACAGCAATACGTACATATATAAAAGAAATTACTTTAACGACGTACGTAGAAGGATTATTACCTCATTTAAGAACAGTGATTAAATCAAGAAACTTTGAAACACTGGAAGATGCAATGAAGGCAAGTCTTGAAGAGCAGAAAATTTATCAATCATCAAAAGAGACTCAACGAATACTTAAAGGAGGAAACCAAGGCAGAAATAACAATCAAAAGTATTGCGAAATTTGCAATCGTAATAATCATTTTACAAATCAATGTAGATATGGAAATCGCGGTCAAGATACTGGCCAACAAAATTTTCAATCAAAAGTACATTCAAATCCAAATAATAAAGATGTGAAAAAGATAACATGTGCTTATTGTAATAAACCGGGACACTCCGAAGATGTATGTTACAAAAAGAAAAAAAGAAATAAATCCAATGGACAGTTTTCGGGAAACGGGCCAAGACCGAGTGGCTCGGGCAACCAATCGGTCAAAACATTAAAAACAATAGCCTTAAACCTGCAAGAACCCTGTCATTCAAAATCAAATTAATTGATAATCATGCTTTATATAAAATTCCACAATGTACAAAATATATCGTAAAGCTACTTGTAGACACAGGGGCTGATCTTAATTTAATAAAACTAGGTGCTCTTCACGATGATGTTCAAGTATCAGACACAAAAAAATTCATGTTACAGGGGATAAATGATCAAACAGTTAAGACCCTGGGATTTACAATGTTGACAGTCATAAATGGAAATCAATCTTCCGAAAGTGAATTTCATGTAGTTCCGACAAATTTTCCAATTATGGGCGATGGTATTTTGGGAAAACCATTTTTAACGGAGAATCAAATTGTCATTGACGTAGGAAAAGGGGAAATTACATCAAAATTAGATGACGTCACAACTATTCCAGCTAGATGTGAAACAATTATTCCAGTAGATGTGTCAGATCTACAAATTCAAGAACATCAGAGCATACTAGTTTACGCTCAAAATATAAATAATGAAATAATATGTGGAAATATATTAAATAAAGTAAAAAATCATCAGATTCTCATAAGTATAATTAACCCAACAGAAACTCAGATTGTGGTACCTACACCAAAACTAACAGAGTTATCACACGAAATAATAAATGAAGAATCAATAAAACATTTTATACATACTAATAAGGTAACAAAAAATGAACAAAATCGGATTCAACTTCTAAAGAACTTTCTCAAAACAGATCATATGAATCTTGAAGAAAAAGTATCTATTGAAGAATTATGCAGTGAATTTTCTGATATATTTTTTCTCGAAGGAGATAAAATTACATGTACAGACGCTGTATGTCATGAAATAAGAACACCAGGAACAACACAACCCATCTATCAACGACCTTATAGACTTCCATATTCACAGAAAGAGGAAATAGATAACCAAATTGAAAAATTGGAGAAAGATGGAATAATTGGGCCCAGTGATAGCCCATGGAATGCTCCATTGCTAGTAGTGCCAAAGAAGATCGATGACTCAGGTGAACAAAAATACAGAGTTGTAGTTGATTTCCGTAAATTAAACAACCTTACGGTGGGAGATGCTTTCCCAATGCCAGATGTCAATACAATCTTGGATCAATTGGGAAATGCAAAATATTTCTCTTGCTTGGACATGGCGAGTGGTTACCATCAAATTCCAATGCGACCGGAAGACAGACAAAAAACCGGTTTTAGCACCGAAAAGGGCCATTTTGAGTTCAATAGGATGTGTTTTGGACTAAAAGGAGCTCCGGCAACTTTTCAAAGACTTATGAATCAGGTACTTATTGGTCTCAACGGTGTGAAATCTTTTGTTTACCTGGATGATGTAATCGTTATTGGAACATCTATTAAAGATCACGAAAATAACTTACGAGATGTATTTAAAAGATTTCGTAAATATCATTTGCAACTTCAACCACTGAAATGTCAATTCTTAAGTAAAGAAGTAAGTTATCTTGGTCACTTGATAACTGATGAAGGTATTAAACCAGATCCAAAAAAAATATCGTGTGTAGCTAATTATCACACTAAAACAAATGCTAAAGAGCTAAAATCATTTCTTGGATTAATAGGTTATTATCGAAAATTTATCAAAGACTTCAGTAAAATATCAAAACCATTAACATCTTTACTAAAGAAGGATCAACAATTTATATGGACGGATGCTTGTGAAGACGCATTTCAAACATTCAGAACTATATTGACCAAGGAACCAATACTTCAATTTCCTGACTTTTCTCGACCTTTCAATATTACAACAGATGCCAGTAATTGTGCAATAGGAGGAATATTATCGCAAGGAAACATTGGGTCAGACTTGCCAATTTCCTATGCATCACGCACATTAAATAAAGCTGAAATTAATTATAATACCACTGAAAAGGAGCTGTTGGCAATAATTTGGTCGGTTAAACAATTTCGTCCTTACATCTACGGTCGAAAATTTAACATCATAACGGACCACAAACCTCTATCGTGGATGTTTGGAGTTAAAGATCCAGGCGCTCGTCTTACTAGGTGGCGACTTCTGCTAGAAGAATACGACTATACAGTCATTTATAAACCAGGAGTTCAGAACACAAATGCTGACGCTCTTAGCAGAATAGCAGTTTCTACTACTTCGGCAATTGCGCCTCAATCGACTAGCGAATATAAGAAATTTCTTGAAGAAATATCTCAACGTGTCATTATAAACAATAATGTTACTGAAACAGCGGGTAATTTATTCGATGCTGCAGATGAATATGCATTAGGACATTGTGTTTCTCAAGATTTTTGTATGAAAAAAGGGATAGGTCTCGAATTTAGAAGAAAATATGGTCAAATTAAACAGCTTAAAAATCAAAATAAACTGGTAACAGAAATAGCATCGTTACAAGTAAATGGAAAAACTATTCTTTACCTAATTACAAAAGAAAAACATTGGCAGAAACCTTCGAAGGAAAAAATGTTTTTAACTTTAAAAAATTTACGAACTTTCTGCGATTCAAATAAAATAAAAAAACTGGCTTTACCAAAAATATCTTGTGGAATAGACCAATTAGATTGGTCTGAAATACGCACAATGATTCGATTCCATTTTAAAGGATCTGAAACCAAAATACTAGTGTTCATTGATGACACATATACAGAAGAAGATAAATATAAGATTATCGAAGAATTTCACAATTCACCACTTGGAGGTCATCAAGGAATTTCCAGAACAATCAAAAGAATTAAACAACAACATACATGGAAAGGATTGAAAAAAGATGTACAAAATTTTATATCGTCATGTCAATCATGTCAGCGAAATAAAACCCTTAATAAAACCGTCAAACAACCCATGGCTATAACAACTACATCTTCCAAACCATTTGAACGTATATTCCTAGATATTGTTGGACCAATTACCAAGTCTAAAAAAGGAAATAATTATATATTGACACTACAAGACGATTTAACGAAGTTTTCTGCTGCATATCCGTTAGTATCTCATGATGCAAATTCGGTATCGAAAGTATTCGTTGAAGGTTTTGTATGCCAACATGGAATACCGGAGTCAATCTTAACAGATTGTGGTACAGAATTCATGGGTAAAATATTTGCTGCCTGTTGTAAACTATTGCAAATAGATAAACTGCACACGACACCATATCATCCTCAATCTAATGGTGGACTTGAAAGGTCACATCAAACGTTAGCCGCTTATCTTCGACATTATGTCGATAAACATCTTGATGACTGGGATGACTATGTACCGTATGCAATGTTTGTATACAACACTACAGTACATACAACAACCAAACACCAACCATACGAGTTAATATATGGATTCCCTGCCTCAATACCACATACATTAAGCAGAACTCCTCAACCTAGATACAACTACGACGATTATGTCTTCGAGTTAAAACAAAAACTTCAAGAGTCACACAAACAAGTTCGAGAAAACATATTATTAAGTAAAGAAAAATCCAAAGAAACATATGATCAAAATCGACATGAAATTAACTTCAATGTAGGAGATCGAGTTTGGATAAAAAATCACCAACCGAAAGGAAAATTAAGTCCTAAATGGCTTGGACCGTATTTGGTTACTCAATTAGAAGACAATGAAAATGTCATAATACAAAAAGAACGAAGAGAAGTGAAAATACACATAAACGAACTTAAACTGTGTGTTCCATAAAAAAAAAAAAAGATAATATAATATCATTTTGTATAATTAAATTTAAGTGTAAAAAAAAAAATAAAAATAAAAAATAAATATTAAAATCATACATAAAAAATAAAGATAATAATAATATTTCACATATTAACTTGTAAACATTCCTGCAAAATTAGATGTATCTGGTATGTCTGAACTGTATAGAATAATGCAAACTACAATCGTTAAAAGTAATGATTTAATTATATTCATCAATACGATTCCTTTAGTATTAAGTAACATGTATAAACTATATAATGTTCTACCAAACCCGGTATATTTAGAAAATAATAGATTTATGTTTATACAACCTAGGTTTAAGTTTATAGCCATAACTATTGATCAGGAATATTTTATTAATTTAAGCGAAAACGATGTTAGTTTGTGTACTGATACAAACCGTTTTAAAATTTGTAAAAACTTTTTAGCCAAAAGGGTAGTGACATCAAACGAATGTGAAATAAATTTAATTTCTTACTCAGATATTACAGAATTAGCAGATTTTTGTAAAATAAAATACACTTCATTTAAACATGGGATTTTTCATAAACTTATGTCTTCAAACTCGTGGATTTTCACGGTAACAAACCAAAATGTAATTTTAACGTGTTTCAATAAAGATTCAATAACAGAAGTATTAACTGGATCAGGAATATTATCACTAAGCGAACAATGTTCCGCAATTTCAGGAGGTTATCGCATGATTCCGTTTAGAACAATTTATTCAGAATTAAAATCAGATTTCATACCAACTATGAATTTAACTAAATATATACATAATGTTAACACAATAAAAGAATATGTATCCCCAGAAGTAGTATTTTCAAAGTATAAAGATGATAATGAAGTCACTATCCCAAAAGATAATTTAGATTATAAGCAATCTTCAATTTATATAAACTATTATGTTATTGGTTTAATAATACTATGTTGTTTACTAATAATTATTCTGTCAATTATCACAATAAGAAAAATATTTAATTTTAAGAAAATTAAAAATGTCAATGTAAACCAACCGAGTTCGACGGAACAAAATAAACAAAACCAAGATGAACTTAAAATAAGAAAAGGAAAATCATTACCCAAAATAATTGTTTAAAAGTAGGATAATGATCTTCCGTCTAACCCGGGGGGTGTTATATGCCCACCACTATAGAGACTATAGAGACGCTTGTTTTACAGAATATAATAACGCCTGTATGTAGGCGTCTTATCTTAGATATTTTTGCTTATACGCGACAAGACTGTAGTATCGGTCCTGTCGGCAATTCAGTCTAGAACTCGACTCATTCGAGCTAAGTAGTGAGCTTGTAGTATAAATCATATTTTTTAAAACTAATAAAGTATAATATTCTCATATAAATCTAAAACGTGTATTCTTTTTATTAATAAACTATTAAACAACATTTGATTATCACCCGCTACACAGAGAACGGTTTCAACAAATTGTCGTCTTCGGATACAACCAGGGACACAATATAAAATATAACAGAACATCACAGGCATACGCAGTGGCGTTCATAACATATGTATAATTGGTACCACCAAATACGTAATTAAAATAATCATTTAAGTGCAAACAACAAGTATAAGAAATTACCATAGTTACAATAATTATATTATGTTCTATAAATATGATGATATAATATTATAAATAAAATTATAGTTACCCTGTGTATGGATCCGATATAGTATGGACGTTAAAATTGTTCAACTGTTTGTTACTTATATTTATAAGAAAAATGTTTTACCCATAAATATTAGCTTTAAAAACATTTTCCTTTATTAAATTTAAATTTAATATTTTTGATTGTTTATTTAATAAATAAATAATATACTAATAAATAAATACAATTTTAATAGTGTATTTCATACTTATTTATGATTTCATTAAAATATTTTTACTAAACCTACGTATACATATTATTATTTATTTCTAATTGTTTAATTATTTAAAATATATTATGGGATAACAATCAATAAGAATAAAATAATATAAAATGATATTATGGAGGATGCCCGCACTTATATATTTATAAGTGCGGTCATATAATTGAAATAATAAAGTCAGATTTTATAATGAAAGAGTCTATAGTGTAAATATTACGATGCTAAGATGGTTAAAAAGGTTTTTGTATTTCACGATAGGGATAACCAAGAGAAAAAATTGGATAAAAATAATTAAAAAGAAAACAAAGGGAACGACAATAGATAATGATATTATGTTGTAGGTATTACATTTAAGGAATAGTATTTGTGAAGAAGAGTACAATAATAATTTTAGGGAATTAAGGAAAAAAGGAGGAAGGAAATATTAATATATTTTAACATAAAGTAAAACAAAATTTAATTGTACTGTACTGTACCCTTAGGCCTTAGTTTATTAAGGACATTATTCGTGTTTTATTTTTGTGTATAATACGAGTACATAGGTATATACAAATATAAAATTATTAGCTGAAATTACGAACAAGATAACCATCCTAAACTCTGTTTCTTGTCATTAATGACATTTAAGAATTTCTATGACACGTGTTCAAATATTTGAAGTATTTTTTATGTAATATCATTAAACAAATAGTTGTGAATTAGCATAGGATTATAGTGTCGTAATTATACTTGTTAATGTATATCAAAATTAATGTTTAAAAAGGTAGGATTACATTTATTATTGATTTTTTCTGTTTTATTAGGATATACCTCGGCATCTAATTCATTGGCTAACAATTGTTTACTTATGTATAAATATTAAATATAGTATACGATAATATATTATACATGTTTGCTGTTTTTGAAATAAATTATCTACTAATGTCTTTTATGAGTGTTAGTATTTACTTATAATTAATTGGTCGTCTCGTCTAACCTTAGCGATAGATGGCGAGAAATTTGTGGATGTTATTTTGATTTCTGGAAATTTATATTTATCGGAATTCAACGAGGAGGTGTTTGACGATTAATTGTACTGACAACTTACATAAGGTAGCAGTGTGTACATCGGGTACTCCCTATTCTTAAACGCTTTGGGATCACTTCCCATTTTCTGTTTAAATTGTATTTCTTGATATGTTTGGTTGTCCAATTTACTTCGTTGAATTTGGTTTCCGTTTTTTCTCCACTCCTGTAAACATTTTGCACCAATTTGCATATTAATTGTCTTTGTGACGTATTCGTACCCTCAAAGTCTGAAGTTAATATCTCTTTGGTCGTTATTTGTTGTAACTTTTGCCGCTTTATATGCTTTTTCGTTTCCCTCAATGATCTTATGCCCTGGTATCCAAGCATTTCTTTTTTTTATATATATTTAACTTGTGACAGAGTATAATGAATCTAATAAAAAATATGTAATTGTTCATTTGTTGATAGTTTTTTTTTAAACATAATATATTTTATGACTGAATTTACCTATTACCAAAAATATTATATTTACTGTGATTTTTTTTTTTTTTTTGGTTGAGGCTTTGACAATTGAGATCATTAGCCTGTGGAACTGTGGGGGAGGGTACTGTAGGTGTTGAACACGTGTCTGTTTGTTTTTGGCAGAATTTTTTAGTGGGCAACCGTAGGTATCTGCCATGCCCGGGTGGGGGGTGGCGGCCTCTCTCTCCGGACACCGTGACTGTCAGAAGAAAAATGCCACCCATGGCCTCATTGTTTTAGTTCCCCATTTGTTGTGTTTATCAATTATGTTATTAGTAAAATATATTAAATATATGCAAATAAAAAAATTAATTTTACCTTTTTCTGCATCGTGAATACTGTTAGTCTTATTTTCTAAGGCATACATCAACTACCCAATTAAAATAGCATTCTGTATCAGAATATCTGAATATATAATATTATAATGAACACCAGGTATAAATAATTACTTATTTACTCATGACTTCAATGGAAATATCTGAAGTTTGTGTACCATATAGTATGTAAATGTTTCAATGTATCATTATAGAATATAAATATTATTTATTCTATTCCATTTTTATCCATCTTAAATAAAAATCATTTTTCTAAATTTTATATTAACTGTTTACTGTTGTTATGATATTATAACTTCCATAAATAAACCGAGTACATTCATAATATAAAATTTAAATCGTGCATTAGGTTTTATAACCAAACCACTTCAATAATTCAACCATAAGTTTATAGGGTGAATATCTAGTATACTAAAATAAACACATACATTTCCATAAGGTAGGTATATAATATTATATTCGTTTGAAAAAACAATAACTGTTTATGCTTAAAATAACAAAACTAACAATAATATCATTATTAATTTTAAAATAAAAACATATAGTGAGAGAAATGAAATTGGAAAAATATTTCAATAGGTATACGAAGCTAACTTATCTGTTTGGAATTTGGATTATAGAAATCTAATCATTTTAATTAAGTCACGGAGGATGAAACTTAATGAAAAGGATGGACGTTCTATTGTATTTTACACTTTATCTTTAAAAGTAAAAACAAAAAACGCGACAAAGTTTGTTTTTTTATTTTACCTTAACAATTTGTCTTTTACATAGGTAACAACAATAGTAACTGTGTCATGGCTTTTTTTATTTCTTAACTTTATTACGATTTTTATAAATAATGATAAAAACCAGTAATTATAATATTGATTTCATTCAAGCATGTTCTAATTATTTTATGTATTATAATTTATAATAGTTTTATTATGTTTAGTAGAAGGAAAATATTATTGATCTTTGACTACGCCTACTGTTATATAATATTGACAGTTACTATAATGTATAACATCCCTTTTTGGCCATCCACTCTCATAAGATATTTATTTTTAAAAAGAAACGGTAAATTTTTATTTCAATAGGAGCCACTACATAGTTAGTTACCAAACAGTAGCAATATGTTATACTATCAATATCAGGGTTGGCCAACCTTGTTCCATATTGTGCCAAATTAAAAAAAAATTGAAAATGTGCATTAATAATTAACACGGCAATTATAACATGACTGCTTTATTATAGATTATAATCAAATAATATGTTATATTACATAACATTATTAATGTTATTTTGATACAATAACTGTTGTGTTATATTGTATTAATATTGAATAACATAATTTTAGAAATATTTAAAAGTTATATTTAATTTTATGTGACGCTAGTGTGCCATTCAATAACATCAAATGTGCTGCAGGTTAACCACCCCTGATCCATATCTTTTTCATGAGAAAATATGTTTCTTTCCATTTTTATATTTTTATTAGGAGAATATTATATACATACATAATTTTCGTTAAAAATAAAGAAAATATTTATAGTTAAAATAATATGATATAATTACTCATCAGTCATCATATTATTTAAGAACGATTTTGTTTACCGTCTCTAGCTATTTTCTTTGTTATTTTAACAATATTGAATATATAAGAAATAACATTGAAAAAAATAAATATATTTTCATTTAAAACAATATGCATAAATTAATAATCCTTTCTTGCATATTTAAAATATTGTGTTTGTTTAAATAATATAATATACTGAGTGGATTTATTTAAATAAAGTTGTACCAAAAATATCATATCTCATTTTGAAATTATAACAATTAATAAAAGTATGTCAAATTTAAATTTAAGACCTCAATAGACATAATATTAGTTTATTACATTCTGTGATGTATAAATTATTTGAACAGAATAATAACTTCAATCAGAACTAGAATTTTGAAGTATAAGAATGTATACCTAGTAACTTAGTTATTGAATATTTTTTAGAATAGATTAGGAATAAATTCAGGTTACTTAATAATATGTAATTACCCATGCATAATATAAAAATTATTTACACATTTTAAAAACACAATATTATGCATATTATAGTTTTTAACTTAAACTACATTAAGGAAATATAACTTAATGTAATACATTGTATGTTATAATTTATTTATCAAATGTTCTTATAAATACGATTATACGAACTATTAATAATTCATTTTTTGTACAACCTAATGCAACACATCTTGGATGTATCATAATTGTACTATGAACCCCATTGTAGGTACATTATTACTGTACAATGGCATAAGCAAATAAGAATTGTTGTTGGGGATTCAATAAAAAAAAAAAGTTTTCAAAATTTGTTAAACAATCAGTATGTACATTAACTATTTTTATACTTAAATAAAGATCCACATTCCACGTCTTCAACAATTTTACAACTTTTAACAGAGAAATTTAATTCAATAATAATGAAAACACATGCTCAACGATTAAATTTAAACTTAATGAATCATCAATTTTTGTGCAATTTATGTAGGCACATCTTAATAATATTTGTATAATACGTAATAATGTAATTTGTTATTTGTATATAATAATATATGCGATTGTTGTGTCTTGCTAAATATTTTGTTAGTTTAAGACGCATTCATAGTACCTACTCTAACTTATTAGAAAACTTCAAAACTATAATTATTTGTTTACACTATAACTAACGCCTGTAGTGTATACATTATTATTATATTATAACTGTGTAAGTACAACTGAACGTATTTTATTTGTTAAGAAAACTAGTTTATAAAACCTGTACTGGTTAAATTGTATTCGACCTGCATAATCATAATCAAGATTGCTATGTGGTGACATAATGCTGCAGCGGAAAAAATTTGTATTTATGGCTATTTTTAGACGTGAAATAGTATAAACAAAAATCTACCAAAAACTTTAAAAAAAAATATTAGTCCATAGCTTAGAATATTAAAACCGACAGGCCTCAGGTATCGGCCATGTTTATTAAACTTTATTTTTTAACATTTAAAAGAGGATATACACTGCTTCTACCACAATTTTGTAGATAATCAAATTGTTTCGTTGAATAATGTATCGGAACACGAATTACCGCGTCAGGGTCGTCTAATATTTTTTAGGGTCTCATAATATTTTTTTTAGAGTTGCGTTCCATCTACTTTTATATCGAAGAATGCCAGCGGCCAACGGCTGATATCACTCGAGATGATTCGCTTGACGCATATAGGTATAGGTAAAAAATCGTAAAAAATTACGTGCTCAATAAAATACTGAAATTACGAACAATACAATATATAATTTAGATTAATATACAATATACGTATAATAGAAAATTAGTCACGTTCTTTAACAACATCAGGTGACAGATATCAATATTATTTGGACGTAATATGTATGATGTGTAACGGGTATGCATATTATGGGGTACCGGTATCGTTTATCGACTCGCGGAAACACATAAGTAATAAAATATCGATGTCGAGTGCCGCCGACGAGAGATTTTAACAAATGCTCGTCCGTGAATGAGACGAGGGTTCGTTATAGATCACTCGATCTGGTGATGGTCTGCAGGGTGTAAATAATGATTATATTCTAGTCAACGAAACAAACGGAGGCCGTGTATCCAATGAACTTAAGAGCTTTTTAGTTATATTTTTTCGATATATGCAACCCTGTTGTAGTACGTTTATTATGCATTTATGCACTTTGGTCTTGTGATTTATGATAGCGTTCAGCACCCTGCAGACCCTTTCTGAAGTCTATGTTATAATATACATATACCGACACCCCGATAATATAGTCAGTGGCGTATTTATGGGCGGTTGGGTGGTAGCCGTGAGGAGGAGAACTTCCATGGGTGCCAAATTCTGAGTTCTATAAACGGGCATCGGTGCATTGGTGCTGGAAGTTCCAACTTCCAAGTATCTAAAATACCAATGACTAATTTTTATTTCTATAAATGTTACGTTAATCATTTTACAATTTAACATGTAATAATCAAATTAATGTTCGTGAGAATAAAATGAAATATATAAAGTGAGTGTCAAAAGTAAAATTTTGAAGGCTTTAATATTTATAAGCAAATTCATAATAAGATTCGTTAAGGTTTGACAAATGGTTGGGGGGTTATTTATGGATTTGTGGTGTTCTGGGAGACTCGGTCATCTATCACCTTTCTAATTATGTCTATGTTGTTAAATATTAATGGAAAAGGGGTGTTACTTAATTATGTACGTGGGGTACCACATTCCTAAATACACCACTGAATATTGTGTTAAACTGTAGTTTAAGTAATTTCAAAAAAAACAAACGGTCGATTCCGTACATAAATTGTATAATCGATATAGTATACCAATTATTACTACTATTATTATCATTATTACTTTCATTTTTTTATGTTTACTGTGGCAGTGTAGTTCAGGTTACAATGAATACAAACACTGGGGGTAGGGGGGGAGAGTGATGCTTACAGTTTCAACATGGTGTGGTACGTGAGACACGCAAGTTTGTTG